GGTGGCCAGCTGAATTGCTGTTCGAAGTACTGTGCCCAGCGGTCCTAACGTTCTGCTTTGCTGCATATCAGGGAGCCATTTTGGTCCCTGATTGTTTCACTGACAAGAGGTTTCCGAGGACCAGTCGAACAAATTAAGTGGAACAATTTGCGCACGTTTCCAGCATTCTTTGCATCTACCATTTCTTCGACCTAAATTGCACACTTACAAATATCACCATGCCACATCGGCCTTCTCGTAGTGCCATCGGCTGGGTCACCTTACTTGCTGCATACAACAGGGCGGGTAAGCGAAATCACGTCACTGCTGACGCCCCCTTCTTTCTTGTCGTTGGTGGCCGTCGATTGCTTACGCCGGAACTGAGCCTACCAGACTGCGTGATAGGGCGAAGATAGAGAACCAGGGAACACATCTGTATTGTCAGGACAAACATACAAAGCTTCTGCGCAAATATATAGGATGGCTAAATGGCCAATCATGGCCGTTCGCTCGTACGTTCTCTTCATCCAATGACAACATCCTTACTATGAACAATTTCACACCTACTCCGCTGGTCATATGCTGCTAAGCCAATCCACTTGCCCTCCGGAACGTGTGGTACCGATGGTGAACGCATAGTTCTCCGCACATGTACTTTTCGTGCCGCATCCCTCCCTTCCCCGCGCGCGTTAATATCTCTCGCCTTGTAGGCCAATCAGTTAGGACTAATGACTCCGTTCGTCCTGCGTCGCTTTTGCAAGCAACATCTGCTTGTCGTCCGGCGCCGACATGCTCAGGCATCTCGAAATCAATCTTCAAGCCTTGAAGCTCAGTCTTCTGGCTGCCGTCAGTGTTCGCTCTCTGAAGCAAGCAGGACAACAAGCTGCTCTTGGTGTCATACTAGATTCGCTTGGCATTGATTTGTGCTGAGTAGCATAGACAAGAATTCAAGATCCAAATCCATCACTCTTCACTCGCCTCCGGGTGCACACCTCTGGGAATCCGGCGGCTGCTGAGTAGGGTGTGAAGGAATTGACGCTAACTTCCGAAATAGCTGAAGCTGTCTGGCTACCTGATGTCCTCCAACTGCGTGCTGGCTGCGAACTCGAATTGACCACATTGCCATCATTTACCAATGGCGCGGATCAACAAATGACCGCGGCTCGTTTTCGAATACGTTTGTTGATTGCGACCACACACTCGTCCGAAGTCGCTTCTCCCTTCGTTTTTCAGTATCGCGAAAGTTGCGGACAAATCGCTTGGTAACTGAGAAACTGGTACATTCGGATGTTGGACGAATTTACCAGAATAGCCCTCAGCAGTCTCTTCCAACTGCTCCATCCGCAGATGTGAATTCATGCTGGAAGATCGCTCTCCAAAAGGTTCCGTACACCGATTGGTGTCCCTTAACGGTGTCCATTTTCTACAGTCCTATTTGGTTTCATGGTCAATCAGATAATGGGACGAACACTGGAAGGTATTGGAAGGTATTGATGTTCAAATAGCTACTGGCGAAAACCCTATCGATATGGGATATGCAGATGTTATGTCTGCTGATTCGCCGGTCTGTGGAATCTGCTGCTGACCCGCTCCAGTGTCTAGTGTCGGAGAGAAAAAGACTCACGGAAGGGAACACAATAGCTATATTCCAAAAAAGTGGTTGCGAGTGCGAAAAGTACAACGGCCTCAAGCTTTTTATTGGAAGGACACTGTCTGAACTTGGTCCAATGCTGACGCACGCGGTCTGGCTTTAGTACGAGGCAGCGACGTGCTGCATATTGCGGAGGCGTTGTCTGACCTTGATCAACGCTGACTCGCGCTGTCTGGGTTTGATGCAAGGCTGTGACGCGCTGCATATTGAGGGGGCGTTGTCTGTCTGGTCAACACCCAGTGGAGCTGAGAGTCTCCGTAGGTTCCGGGCGCTCAGTGGTTGCTTTCAGGAAGCTGACCTTCCTGATAGCAGACAACATTGTTCTCGTTCTCGAAAAGAAGCGCAGGCATTTTCGGACGAACTCGCCAAAGTCATTCCGTCCTTTGGTATGCACTTTGCACCCACAGTTTATGATACCGTTCCTGGACATGCAGTCGCGGAACACGCCGTTTACAATCTAAGGAAAGTCATTCGAATTTGTGGAACGCTTTATATATCTTTTATGTTGTATTAGTTGTGATTGTAGTGTGACGGACGAGGTCAACGCACTAATCTGAAAGCTGCGGTCGCATTTGCTTTGAATCTCAAGGCACGTGTATATCAAGCTACAGTACGAGCTGTTTTGTTGTATGGCTGAAAATTGACCTTTTTGGTCAGCTGAACTGAGATGTCTTTAGGTGTTCGACAACCGTTGTCTCAGAACCATAGCTTGTGTGGGTTGGTGTCGGCTAATCCTTAACAAAGCAATTAGAAAGCTAGTGTTCGGTTTTGCATCAGAGACTTCCATCGAAGAATGTGTCCAGCACCAGAAGCTGCGATGGTTGGGACATGTGTTGCGTATGTGAAATTATCTTTTGCCGAAGAGGTTTCTGTTTTCCGTGCCAATTTCGGAGTGTCGGAAGCAAGAAGGTGAACGACCCTTAACTTGGCAGAGGGTATGAAGGAGATCACGAAAAGTCTGGGTGCTGTCGATGCTACTGACCTTCCAGGATGAGGACCGCGCGATCCCCGCTGCGCCTGGTTGGAGATACTGCAAGTCGTCGCTTCTAATCGGTGTCAGTGGCGTTTCTGTTGTTATTTTCTACCCAGATTACCTGAATGAGTGACTGTAGGTGTACGCACCTCAGAATGATTGTAGTAGACTACCACTAAGTCCCTTCCCGTCCACTTTTTTCTTCATAATAAGGCTTTCAAGCATATCATGGTTGTACGGCGGCGTTGAACAATAGTGTCGTGTTGTCAATGGTGATGATGATATCACGATTGTCGTGGACGAGCAAGCTTCGTGACTTCTGTAATAACTTTAGAGCGACTGCGGGGTGTTTGGTCACATAAACTGAAATGCCTACCTTCAGACTCATGAAATCGTAATTCCGGTTGGGATCGATGGATTTCAGGCTATCTGATTTGCTGCACAACTTCAAAGTCGTCCGTCCGCAAATTTCGGATGTTGGCGGTGTTTGGCATGATAAAACAAAGATAGCATGGACACGACTATTCAGTATTTTCATACAGGGAGCAATAATGCTTTGCAATCACAAATACGGGCAATAGT